CCGTGCGCACGGAGGGGAAGGAGGAGACACGGAGCACGGGGACTGCCCACCACACCTCTGAGGCAGCCGGTCCGGCGTCAGAAAATGAGCCTAAGTAAACATTCTGAAAAGTTCAAAGATGTTGGAGAAGAAAGGATCTCATCATATCCTTGACTTAACAGTAAAAAACTGCAAACAACCTAAGTATCCAAGGAACCACCTACATAGGTGTTAAAAATGATGAAATTACATCTTTACTGACATAGAAATATATTACAATATAGTGCTAAGAAGAAAAAAAACAAGTTATGAAACAGTATGTATGCCTGCATTTTGTGAAAAAAGTAATAAAACAAATATAGAGGCATAGAAAAAGAGTCTGAAAAGATATATACCAAAATGTTAACAGTGGTTATAATCAGATGGTGAAAAACATGTGATTTTTTTTTTCTTTTCATTCATCTGTAGTTTCTTTAAAAAAAAAAGAAAAGTATATATTATTTATGTACCAAAAAGGCATTTTAAAAAGGGGAAAAACCTAGTACTCTTGGGAAAGTCTACTTGTCCACCTCATACTGATCATGAAATTCTTACATTTGATGCAAGAAATGCCTAATTGCCTGCCACATCATAAGACATCGCTACAACAATTAATTTAAAGTCAGGGCTTTATATTAAAAGTGGTACAACAGGGTGAGAACTAACACATTCCCCACAGCTGCAAATCATCAGACCCGTCAGCCATCTGCCAACATGTCCCAGAGTCTGGAGCCCACCGTGGTTTCTCCGGGCTCTGCCAGGGGCGCAGGAGGTCTGTGTGGCCGGGGACCACTCTTCACAACGTTCTGCATCGTCAAAGAGAGTAGGGCGCTGTACAATTCCACACAAAACAAGAGACCCACACACTCTTCTCATAAATGGATTCCACAACAGATAACATCACCACCAGGGTTATTCAAGAGTCTTCAACTATGTACACAGCTGTACATATTTTAATTGAAAATATTGTTTCTTCAACTTGCCCTTGCTACTTCCTCCCCCAACACACACACACACACACACACACACACACACACTCTCTCACTCCCTCCTAAATTCACTAGACCATTTCATCTAGCTGTCAGATTCTTGCCAAAGTCTCTTTTTTGCCTGGCTGGCATTTAAAGAGGAACTAGGAAACCCATATTCTTGAGATGGGCATATCGGAGAGACATGTAAGTCACACACACTCTCTAAGGATCCCCTCTCCATGCTGTCACCCCCACCATCCCCAGAATATATAACATTTCTTTTGGAGAAACCATGTAGTCAGAAATTACGATCCTTTTAAACCATGCATATCATTTAAAAATATATATGGACATTCATTTTGCAAGCTTTTAGTTTAAATCGTCAGCACTTCAAAATCCCGGGACGTTTCACGAGAACAAAAGAATCGTAACCTTTAGGACAGACAGCACAAAGAACCTGCTTTCAGTGATCCACAAAGAGCGGTGGCTGGCTCCCTCTCCAAGCTCAGCCTCTCTCCAGGGCTGCTAAGTCACATCACGGCTGCCTTCCTTCTGAGAGGACGCCTGGCCACATGGGAGGACTGTGAGGTCCCTGGAGGGAACGCTGGTTGGCTCTCGAGAAAGGCAGACTTTTCTATGAAAACTCTTTGTCAAATGGGCTGACGGTGATGCATCTGGGCAGCATGTTAGCTATGTTCTGTTCCACCCCTGACGTGATGTTTCATATCAAATGACTACATACCGGTCATGGGTCAGCACACCACCACCCTAAAGGCCGGGGTCGTGGCCTGCCTGAGCCTAGAGAAGCCCACGAGGAGGCGGCAGGCTGGAGGCCAGCTGCCTGCTGTGGACAGTCCTCCCGGGGTTGGGCAGGTCCTGTTCACCCTGCTCTAACCTGAGAAGGCTGCTCCCTGCAGAGCGGGCTCTCGTCTAGGAAGGGGGTGGGCAGTGCACGGCCGTCTCCCAGCCAGACCTCAGTTTACTGCCCTGGGGTCCAGGGCTTCCCACGTGCCTTGAACAAACCACTGCCTCCACTAAAGCCATCAACAAAGAACTCAACACGAGTCTGCCACAGGTCTGGCCTCTCGGAGCGTGGACATCAATGCGGCCAACACTCTTGGAAAGATCTCTGCAAAATCAGGATCCTTCCATTCTGATTTTGATTCCATTCTGATTCACTCATTTGTAAATTGTCACTGGCTGTGGACATTTGTAAAAACAGTGTATCTGCGGTATGTGCTCTATCAGAGTAAAAGACAATTCCTTTTCTTGGCCCCAGGGGTGACCAAAGGGAGAACAGCGGCGGGGCTCATAGAAGGGCACTGGACCAAGGTCCAGGAGACCTGGATGTGGGGCCTACGCAGCAGCTCACTCACTACCTGGTGACCCTGTGCATGTCACTTTCTGACTCTGCCATCTGTCTACAAAACAGGGTATGATCTCTGCTCAGTCCTCCCACCGGCTGAGTTCTGAGGTGACAGCATGCAGGTGAGCATGGCAGTGATGTACCCACCACACAAGTCTCAGGTCTCGAGTGGACACTGCCTCTCCTTCACTGCAAGGCCTGACCACCACCGGTCTCAACCTGCCTCTCAGGTAGCTTTCCATTCCCTGGACACTAGGAAGAGGTCACCCCCACTCACCACTCTCAACTTTGCAATGCATCCAGTTAGGTCTTCACTGGAACAAAAGTGATTTTTTTTTTTTATCCTCACCCGAGGACATTTTTCCATTTTTTTTTTTTTTTGTTGTTCAGGTAGAGTGGGAGGGAGAGAGAGGAACAGAGAGAGAGAGAGAAACATCGACGTGAAAGGGACACATCGAGTGGCTGCCACTCGCACGACCAACCAGGGCCGGGGACAAACTGCAACCGAGGTACATGCCCTTAGCGGGAACCGAACCCGGGTCTTCTCCGGACCGCAGGTCGACGCTCTAACCGCTGAACCAAACCGGCCAGGGCGGAACAAAAGTGATTTTTAAGGGTCATTACAAATAAAGGGCTTCAAGTTTTACTTTTGCCTCTTTGGGGCCCCAGGGTTCATGGATGCAGAAAGCAAGCTAACCCAGGACCAGGCAGCCAGTCTTGGAGATGTCCGGGTCAGGAGACATCACTTGCGAATGAAAACGCAGCCCTGGCCCTAAACCTTCCAGCAGCACAACGTGGCTGGATATTGGTTTCTGTCCTGCCTGCACCTGGCTTAAGAGAGTGACAACGAAAGGACCTCGGTGCCGAGACTGGAGATGGACGTCCTAATATACATTAGGGCGTGTTAAGCTGGTGAGAGTGACAACCAGGATGAATTCAGTGGGTCGTTTCCATTAGACTGAGTCCACCCTCAATGAGCCAGGGGCTGTCAGACAGGGCCAGTCTCTCCACTGACTGTCCAGGTTGTCCCTGGGTCATTTTTCTTAAGAGAAAGTAAATGAAGAAACATCCAGATCTTTAGAGAAAGCAGAGGGACAGAAAATTCAGTGCTTAGTGAAGCTGTGCTCTCCCTGCTGAACCCAACTTACCTTCCCCTCCGCTCCGCACCTGCAGCGATGTCAGAGCTGGATGAACCACCCAGCGGGGCCCTGAGCTCCTCACCTACGACCTGTGAGGAGCTCACCAAACTCCAAGGGTTGGTGAGCAGGGTCACAGGACACAGGGTCGCAGCAGCCACCATGCTAACAGCTCTACCGCTTCTGTGTTTTCTACAGTCACCGCCACGGAGCTCAAGGGCCGTTAGCAAGTCAACCTTCCTACGAACATGCCACCTGAGCCTGCGATCAGCTGGGACGGCTCCTCCCAGATCAACAAGCCACAGGCAGGGGAGGCGGGCGTCAGCAGACCCATGCTGAGGTTTTGAACTCCAGTGCCCACTGCTCCTGGGCAGCCATGTGTCCAGTCTGCTGATGGGTGGGCTGACCTGGCCTGAGAAGAATCCCTCTGTCCACTGCTGGGCCGCAGGCCGCACTCAGGGCCAGCCCAGCAACCTAGTCTCCTGGCACAGCCAGTGAGGAGTTGCCACCAACGGTCCTGAGAGCCACCTGGAGCTCTGGGGAAAGGGCAGGCCAGCAGTGCCTTATCTCAATCACCAGGAGGGCTGACTGCGCTGCATCTCCTGTGCGACATGCACACAGCCTGTGGGGTCTCCCCTGACGTGCCTGGAGCTCCAGGTCACCAGCTCTCCTTCCTTCCCCGCCCCTGCTCAGAGGGTCTCAGCTACATGAAGGAGAGCAGGAGGACCTGTCAACTCCTTGGGGCCCAGGTCATGTCTGTGGGGACCCCGCCCTCCCTCAGGCTGTTTTGTCATTTATCCAAATTCATCAGGGAGAAGTTCTACCCATGTGAGAGAAATCTCATAGAAGGGGAAGCTCTCTTAGTGGTTCTCAAAGCAGGTAAGGGGGCACCGAGGCCTCCCTTCTCCTGAAGGCATTTAGATTCAAACCGTGTTGCCAGGCATGGGCAGTCCGTCTCAATGAAGGATGCCAATGGCACACAATGCCCACTGAGAAACCCTGTCAGCGAGGAGAGGTTGGTGGCTCCAGTCTTCCCTTGGCAAGAACTGAGAGACAGAGGCAGACCTGAGCAGAACACCTCTGTCACCAAGACCAAGCCCTCTCCCCACTGAGCTGACTCATGGGCTGGTGGAATTCCTTTCTCAACTGGCCAAACCCAACAGAGGATCCCACCCTGTGGTCCTGGAATCCCCAGGCTACGGGCTCCCAGGACTGGAGAATAAGGGTGGTTCCAGTGGCAGACCCCAGGGGCAGAGCACCCAGGGATGTGCTCCTGGGCGGGAGGACTCAGACCAGCTCCTGTTGTCTCCACTGCCACCCTCCCTGCCCCAGGGCCATGCAGCCAAACCATGGGTTTGACCACACGGGTGCATTCACATCTGATAATGACCCTCGGCTCCAAGACGCTGATCTGTTCAACAGGGATTCTGCTGGGTTTGATTAAAACACTAAATTCTGTTTACATGTTTAATTGAACAAATATTTATTAAGCACCTACTCTGTGCCAGGTGCTGTGCTAGGCATCCTCGCTGCATGCTGTTCCCACGGCACAGCAATCTACTCAGAAAGTAAAACCAAGAAAAGGAGCATTGTCGCAACCTTACAAACTGGGGCGGGAGGAAGGGGGCAGAGTGGATCAGGGGCCCCCGGCCAGAAAACGCACCCTGCGGAAGCTTGTCTTCTTTCTCCGGGCAGAGCTGCTGAGCAGCTGCTTTAAAGCATCGGGACACTTACTGAGGGGCAATTTCCCATCTCCACGCCCCACACAAGGGCGCCTGGTGGACATTCAAATTCTTTGAATGCTATTCAGAAAAGGAGGGGTACAGGAGAGTCACATCTGGATTAGAAAACTTGTTTCAGTTCATATGGTTGCAACAATCCTTAAGAAAGATAGAAACATCCCTGCCCTGACTGCGTAAACGTTTAAGGTAGACCTAGTCTGGATTCCTGAGTCAGAATCTTCCAGTTGCCCACAACCTCGAAAGGCCAGAGAAGCGAGAGATTTCTATTCTGGAGACGAGCGAGTGGACGCACCATGGTGCTGGAGTCACGCCCAGCTGCGCCTGCGCTTACAGAAGCCACGCAAACAGCAGGACGTCCCGGCCCTGTCGATCTCACACACACCTGCGACTCCCGCGCGGGCCCAGGTCCCGACGCGCCTAGTTGTCGGTGCCCAGCTTGGAGAGGCCTCGGCGGAAGTCGTGCAGGTCGTCGATCTTCCCGTCCAGCACCTCCAAGAAGTTCTTTAACTCCACCTTTAGGTGGCGCTGTCGGTATTTACTCTCCTCAATGTCCGTCTTCAGCGAACGCACTTTGTCCTCCAGGTTTTGATTGTCTCTCTCTGCTGTCTGAAGCAAAGCAAATGGGAGAGGGTTTGAAGGGTAGTGATGGGAGCGTCCGCTGGGACCTACAATGGCCAAACTGTCTTTCTCCTGGGGGGCTGTCAGTCCCCCAGCACACAAGGCAAGGGGCATTTCACTGTGTCCTTCTTTTCTGCCTGTTCCCCGGCAGAGGTGCCAACAGACATGGTGTATGTCCAACATCTGGCCAGGAAAATGACGTTCCTACACAAAACTTAGAACTCGGAGGCCTGCCTGGGGAGCCCAGGGCTAACTGACCCTTTCACAAGTGCCCAGCAGAGAAAGTCTGAAATCACAGCATAAGGCATTTTCAGCCCCCGTCCCAGAATGGTCAGCAGGGGCCCATTCAGTTCCATTCTGATAACCCTGGCCCTGACCAGTTACTAACACTGGGGGTGTGCATCTGAATAAAGGACTCCTGACAGGAGGAGACCCTGGGAAGTAAAAGAGGAGGTTAAAACCCTCTTTTTGCGGATCGGAAATCTGAGGCCAGGGAGGGGCCTCTGCCCCAAGGTTGTGTGCAAGGTCACTGGCTGGGGAGTGGAGAGGTGGAACAGCACCCCAGTCTTACTTATGCCCTTAGCCCCTCCTTCTGCTCCCACTCCTAACCACCTCTGTGGTTCTGCAGGGGTTTCTGTGGACTGGAAACCTGCACTATGCTTATGGCAGAGGACACCTTCATGTGAGTGGAAAAGCCAGAAGACAAACACTGCTGAGCCTCCTCTGGGAGCAGAGGTGGCCTCTGGCACGCAGCCACTGCTGAGTATGAAGGGGGCCTCAGAGAAATGAGTAACATGACAAATGCCTCCTCATCTGAGCTTCCCTGCCCTTACCTCTAACTTCTCAGAGATGTATTCACACTCTGACATGAGCTGAGGTATGATTTCACTTTGTTTTCGGAGATCTTTCAACTCCTACAAGAAACAGAATTTGAAGAAGAACGTGAAAGCAAGTCAGATAAAATATATTCTTGAAAATCCCCCCACTTGTGCATATAGCAATGGAAGTAGCATCTGGAACCTGTGTTGTTTGCACAAATAACAAAGGTGATGACATTAACAGTTAACACACATCAGCTACTCTAAGGGCTCAGTGCACGACATGCATTATTGCAAGAGGTGTGTCACCACCACAGTAGATAGGTCTTCTTATGGTTCCCGCTTTGTAGACGGGGAAACCGAGGCTGAGAAAGGTTTGGTAACCTTCCCATGGTCTCCGGCGTCTGTGTACTTAGCTGTCCTGCTCCCCAGAAATAAATGACTTATTGCTGGCTCTCACTGCATTAACTTGACAGCAGAATTCAAGTTCTGATCATAGGGCATCTAAAAAACTTTCCAAGTGTGTGGTACAATGTTCACTTCCCTCCTGGACCTGAGTGACTGACCACATAGTAAACACAGTGCGGAGGCTGTAGTATTTGCGCCCCAATGTGACTCTTGGCTCTGTCGCCGAGCCGATGTCCAGGCAGCTGCCAGGGCGGTCATGTGCCCACAGTCACCTGCTGTGTCCTTGGGCAGAGCTCACCCCCAGGCCCAGAGGGCACCGAGGGGCTCCATCACTCACCATCTCCTTGTCTCGGAGCTCCGACTCCAGCTCCTCGATTCTCCGCTTCAGCTGGGCATTTTTCTCCTTCTCTCTGTTTATCTCACTGCGCTGTTCTTCCAGCTCATCAATCTTGGAGAAACATCACACATGAAGCAGCATGTAGTCCACTTTCGCCATTAAACAAAAGATCACCACAGCTCTGTCTATGCTTTCTTTTAAAACAAACCACTTGTGTTTCTTAGAGGCCACAATCAAACTCCATGCGGCTCCCGGAGGGGCTGCTTGTCCCTTCCAGCAGGAGCTGCCTTACTCACTGCCAGCAGAGCCGAAGAGTCACCAAACCTGGTCTTAGGGTGCTCTGGGCTTCTGGCTGCTACCGTGGCCACAGGACAGAAACCTTAGGTTTGCTTTAAGGATTCATCACAAGGAGGGGCCAAATGTTCCAAGAATTTATCTGCTTCTCCCAGAATGACTTTATATCATTTTGATCACATCCTGAATTATTCTGTTTCAAGGGTTTAATAAGCCAGCAGGGTAGACAACAGAGCACTGTGGGACAGTGGCTACCAAATGGGACATGATGACATTTCAAACGTTTTAAATCAAGATGACCTTTCCCTACTGATGCATGCAGGAGCCTGGCCTGCAGACCTCTTCCCAGGGGGGGGGAGGGGGGCGCAGAGGTGTCTGCTGAGTCGGCAGATCCCCAGAGTGCACCTTCCTCTCCCTCCCCATCCTGACCCCTCAGAAGAGAAGCTGAGGCCGAGAACCCTAGCATTGCTGTCTAGTGGTGAACATTTCTGGAGGCCAGAGTGAGCGTGCAGAGTGGATGGCAGGAGTGCAACCGATGTATAACACAAAAGCGCCACACTGACAGGTCCCTACAGCAGCAACAGTGGTCCTAGAGGTGAATGCACTGGGCGATGGCTTGAGGACACTTCCCAGAGGTGGCCTGAGCCAGGCCTCAGGACGTGAACCCCCCAGCCAAAGGGCTGCTGGAGATGCCTCCAGCTCCAGGGCCTCCCATCAGGGAAGCCGATGCTCCTCTCAAGGTGCACTTCCTCCACGCCCCACCCTGCACAAAGAAGAAAGAGGGCAACTGACCCCTCTGGCGGGCAGACCAGCCAGCCTGGAAAGGGAGCGTGCAAAGTCAGCACTTGGCCAGTGCCCCTCGCTGTCAGCACTGTGGGCACTGAAATGAAACCGTGTGCCATGTGTGCCAAGTAAGATGGTGAAACAGAGCAGTGGTCTCCGGGGGCTCCACTCAGCTCAGGTAGGCAGGTTATAAACTGGGGGCGGGAGGAGTGAATACCAATATCAATGTGACGTCTCCCCGACACGTCCAATGTGACATGTCTCCCTGACATGTGGTAAACGTGCTGACCATTGAAACACGGTCTGCACTGAGGACTCTCTGGCCACCCAAACCACCTCATCAACTGAGCCCAACTACAAAGAGTGTGCGTGAATTCCGAACAGGTCAAAATGCTCGTAGGTCAAGGGAGAGCAGCGGGCACATGAGAGCGGCCAGCAGCCGCCAACCTCCCCCTTTGAAGGCTGAGTCCCTTTTCTCACGTCCACACTCACATGTTCAGGAATAGCACTTTGCATGAAGCAGCACCTCAGCAAATGCTCCTCACCATTTCCTGCATCTGTTCTCCTCACTCACCCCCTGTAGCCCTGTTCTCCACCTTAGGTCACAGGACCACAGAAAATGCAGGAGTAAGAAGTCAGTTATTGGAAGGGAGGCTCAAGGAGGGAAGGCAGACAGTCTTCCTCCTGCAGTGCAGATGAAGGCAAAGTGGGCGTGGGGAGAAGGAGCCTGGGCCCCCTCCCGCCGCCCCTCCTGGCTGCGCCCGAAGCTCCCCCAGAGCCCACCCTGTGCCGCAGCCGGTCGTTCTCGTCGCGGCAGATGGAGAACTGCCGCTTCCACTGCTCCACACTGGTGGCAGACTCCTGCAGCGCCGTGGTCAGCCGGGCGTTGCTCTCCCGCAGGGTCTGCAGCTCGATCTCCCATTTCTTCACGTTGGCAGCACTGCAAGGCAGAGGCCGGGTGGTGACCGGGGCCCTGCACCCCCTCCCCACATGTGGCCTGCCTGGAGGAACGAGTGCCAAGAGGGACGGGCCGCGCTCTCTCAGGAGGACCGGTCACCTTGCTGGGCTGTTTCCTTAAAGAATCGCTTTAGAAAAGAACAGAATTCTTAGAGAAGAAAGAGACCAGGCTCAGAATGAAGCCATAGAGTAAGACCCCCTTCCTCCTACTCCCAGCTGACCTGACACAGAACAAGCCCCGTTCCGCCCTGAAATGAGCCTTAAGGACAGAGTTTCTGAAGTGCTGGGTCGACCATGGGGCACTCTGAGAATTTCACCGATCTCGGAGCCAAAGGACCCCAGATTTAACAACAAACAGGTGATAATGGTCCCACTTGTACCTCCCTCAAAGCCTTTAAAGGAATTCAGATTTGCCTGGTGTGGCTCAGTGGTTGAGTGCCGACCCATGCACCAAGAGGTCCCCAGTTTAATTCCCGGTCAGGGCACATGCCCAGGTTGTGGGTCTGATCCCCAGTGAGGGGCATGCAGGAGGCAGCCAATCGATGTTCTCTCTCATCGATGTTTCTATCTCTCCCTCTCCCTTCCTCTCTCTCTAAAATCAATAAAGAAGAAAAAAAAAGGTTTTTTTATCCTCACCCGAGGACATTTTTCCATTTTTTTGTTCAGATAGAGTGGGAGGGAGGGAGAGGAAGAGAGAGAGAGAGAGAGAGAGACATCGATGTGAAAGGGACACATCGAATGGCTGCCTCCCGCACCACCCAACCAGGGCAAAACGGCAACCGAGGTACATGCCCTTAGCGGGAACTGAACCCGGGTCTCTCTGGACCGCAGGCCCACGCTCTAACCGCTGAGCCAAACCAGGCAGGGTAATGAAGAAAAAATATTTAAAAAAATAAGTAAATAAAGGAATCCAGATTTGACAGCAGAGGAGGCAGTGACTGGGACTCCCCTGAGGGCAGAACTGGGGTTCTAACCACAGGCCTGAAGGATACCTCTCCGCTGCCACGAACACCCGAGTTTATCCGTGATCCTATGCATTCAGTGAAGCTGCTCTAAAGAACCAGCTCAGGCTCCCCAGATTCTGCTTGCCTCAGGGGCCCCTTTCGTTTCCTTGCTGGGGACCCCACGGATCTGTGCTGAGTGTGACCTCAGGTGACGGGCAGAGATTGCACTACTAGCCAAGAGAAAGTCCTGGCTTCTACTCAATTCTGCCTGGCTGAGGAGAGTTCTGCTTCTAAAGGCTGTTTTAAAGAGCAAATACAGCTGTCTCTGAATGATCTGCATTATCTTCACCCCACAGCCTCGAGGACCTGGGAATGTGATAGGAATATATATACATTCAGTTTCAAATTATACAGACTGAAAGAATAGAAAGTATTATTGTCTGATTAATTCCAGGGGTAATGATTGAGAACTTAAGCTGATTTGGGGAAATGGCTTCACCCCCATTCCTATAATTCACTTCTCCATTAAATCAGAATTTTAAAACATCGATTTTTAGGGCTAAAACGTTTTCATCGGGCAGCTCACTGTGACTTAAACAGCCAAGCATCGTCCTTATAACTGCCTGATGAGTGAGAAAACAGACTGGTCACCGTTCTGTCCTTTGAAATACCTGCCCAAAGCCACAATCCAAAAACGGTGGCTGGGCCTAAGGGTCACGGTTCTCCCTGGAATCCTCGGTCAGGTCACAGGAATTAGGCTCCAAGAACGGGCCAGGCCAGCTGGGCTGAGAGGTGGGTGCCAGCACATTGTGGATGATGTGGTCGGCCGGCAGAGAACAGCCACGAGGCCAGCTGGTTGGTCTGCCTGTGGCCAGGAGCTGAGACTGGTCACGTCTCCTGAACCCAGCCCAGCAGGAGCGCCGTCAGGGAAGCACGGAGCCTAGAGAAACGGCGTCTGGATTTAAACCACGTACCTCTGTGTCAAGGCGATCTTCAGCTTGTTGTTCTCAGACTTCAGGTGGGTGTCAGCAGGGCCCGCGTGAGACGCCTTTTCATCGTCCGTCCCATTGACGCTGGATGCCTGAGTGGAAGATGAGGTCTCACACCCGACTCCTGGCCGGAGTGGATTACACCTCACACAGTACTGAGGCCTGTCCGCGCCAGCAAGCCAGGCACAACGAGAAACTGTCTCTGCCTGTGGGAGAACAGCTCATCTGGCCCGCACACAGCAACGACTAACAAGTCGAGGACCACCGAGAACAAGGACGAGGCCTAGAAGGGTCCATGTGAGCTCGGTCTGTGCGCTTCAGGACAAGACAGCACCTGGGGCCGTTACTCAGGGCCATTTTACTCACACTTTCCAGATAAACCTACACGCCTGGATACCTGGTCTCCTTAAGGAACACAGGCAGAAGCCACAAATTAAAACAGGAGGAAAGGTTTATAATAAAGAACAAGAAACAGTAAATGAGGACAGAGAAAAACTATTACACGCTGAGAGAGTCTAAGAGTCATGGGCTACAAAGAGGAAGACCCACACACTCATTAAAACAACAGGAACCAGACATGGACGTCTGCTGTCTCCATTACTGTTTAGCATTGTTATGAATATTCTGAGATGTTTTCTGTAATGAGTTATCCCACATGGTGGTGAAATCTCATCTGGTCTTGGATAAGATCTCAGCAAGATCTTATTTAGCCTCCAATATGCATAAAGGCAAAGGAAGGAACCATGAAGGGAAGGATGTATAAATTTGACTAATTTTACATAAAAGCCATAAACAAAATTAAAACACAAACAGAAACCTGGGGAAATATCTGCTGCTAAATATTTGCAGATACTAAAAGCAAAATGTTAATACCATTCCTACACTGAAAGACTCTTAGGAGAGAGTATTCATCTTTTAGAGCTAACCACTGAAATATTGGTGGATAAAATGATAGGATGTCTGGGATTTGTTTTAAAACTTAAGGGGAGGGAGCCCTGGCCAGTTTGGCTCAGCGGTTAGAGCGTCAGCCTGCGGTCCAGAGAGACCCAGGTTCGGTTCCCACTAAGGGCACGTACTTCGGTTGCAGTTTGTCCCCGGCCCTGGTTGGTCGTGCGGGTGGCAGCCACTCGATGTGTCCCTTCACATCGATGTTTCTCTCTCTCTCTCTCTCCCTTCCTCTCTCTCCCTCCCACTCTATCTGTACAAAAAATGGAAAAATATCCTCGGGTGAGGATAAAAAAAAAAAAACTTAAGGGGAGGGAGAATGGGTAATAGATGAATCAATTGGTCATAAATTCCTAACAGTTAAAGCTGACCTATGGGTCGATGCGTGTTCACTATAGAATTGTGCCTAGCTTTGTATACATTCAAAAATAAAGTTCTTGGAGATCAACACAAAAAGATGAACAGTTTAATTTTTAAAAAGGAAAAGAACAGGCCCTGGCCAAGTAGCTCAGTTGGTTAGAGCGCTGTCCCAATATGCCAAGGTTGCAGGTTCGATCCCCAGTCAGGACACATAGAAGAATCAACCAATGAATGCATCAATAAGTGGATCAACAAATCAATGTTTTTCTCTCTCCTTTTTTCTCTCTCTCCCTAAAATCAATTTAAAAAAGGAAAGAATTCACAATTGACATTTATGGAAAAAAATGCAAAGATGATTAACATTAAAAATATTAATCTCACTAGTAAAGAAATACAAAATGGAAAAAGCCAGTAAGATACATTCTTCTCTTGTCAAATCGACACGATGTGTTGGTGAGGGTGTGGCATTCTCATTCAGGCTGGCAGGGGCTAGAGCTGCGTATTTCTGAGGATGAGCTTACAGTGTTCATCAAAAATTTTCTAAATGTCCCTACTTTTAACCTAATACTTCCACTGCAAGAACTTATCTGCACAAACCACGCAGTGCACAAAGATGTGTGAGAATGGTCATCACAGTGTTATTTATATTAATGGAAAATTAGAAAACACAAAAATGTCCCAAATTACAGGATGTTAATGGAATAAATTCTGGCACAAACACTGGCATACTGTATAGTCATTAAAATAGTTTTGCAAAGGGATATTTGGAAACATGAGGAAATGATGACATAAAGTAAAAAATAAAAAGTTAACAACAGTATAAACTAAAGTAGGAAGATACACACCAAAACATTAACAAAATATCTTTGAATGATGAGAAAGCAGGTAATTCTTATTCCCTTTCTTATAGTATGGCATCTTTTTTATTTCTGCAATAAATACAGATTGCTTCTATAGTCCGAAATAAACCCCAGATGAAATGTTTTTGAATTAGATGATTTAAAATCTTCATATATTTGGAAAACTTTGTCAAAGTGTTCATTCCTTAAGCGATTCAGGAAACCAAAAAATTGTATGATTTCAAATAAAAACAAAATAAAAAATGTACAATGGTTTCTGTAGCTGGAGAAACATTAGGAAACATAAGTAAAAACTAAAGCTTAGAGGCAAAAACATTATATATAATTTATATGTGTGTATATATATATATATATATATACACACACAAACACACACACACACATAGTCATATAGAAGCATCTCATGGATATACTTAAATTTTTTAAGGCTTAAAATGCTTTTAGGGGGAAACAAACATTAAAACAAAAAGACATATAAAAAATTCTGATATTAAAATGTAAAGATGTTGTTATGTGGTGTAAAAAACTGTATGTTAGAAATTTTCTTTAGAACATGGACTATTTCAAGATCCCAATTTTATAGATCTTCAGAGATTTCTCAGTATGGTAATTAAGTATACTAAATTAATAGTATCACTTAGATTATATTAAAAATTATTTAGAGCCCTGGCCAGTTTGGCTCAGCGGTCAGAGTGTTGGCCTGCAGTCCCGAGAGACCCGGGTTCGTACCTTGGTTGTATGTTTGTCCCCGGCCCTGGTTGGGTAGTGCAGGTGGTGGCCACTCGATGTGTCCTTTTCATGTCGATATTTCTTTCTCTCTCTCTCTCTTCCTCTCTCTCCCTCCCACTCTATCTGAACAAAAAAATGAAAAAATGTCCTCGGGTGAGGATAAAAAAAAAAAAATTATTTAGAAAGACTTAGGGCCCTGGCCAGTTTGGCTCAGGGGTTAGAGCGTCAGCCTGCGGACCAGAGTCCCAGGTTCGGTTCCTGCTAAGAATACGTAACTCGGTTGTAGTTTGTCCCTGCCCCCAATTGGGGTCATGTGGGTGGCGGCCAGTTGATGTGTCTCTCTCGCATCGATGTTTCTCTCTCTCTCTTCCTCCCTCTCTCCCTCCTGCTCTATCTGAAGATAAATGCAAAAATGTCAAGTGAGGATTAAAAAATAATAATAATAGAAAGACTTAGGAAAGTTGAAGTCTAATATACATTCATTTCCATAAATCCATAGGGGGCATCTTTTATACAATAAGCACGGGACAAGGTGCTGGGACTATAACTCAAAACAAAGAAAGGTTCTGCCTTCATGGAACACCTGAGCCACCCAATCTCTTGTCCTAAGAGTCAGTCACAGCCGCTGACAAACCCAGGGCTCCCCTGGCATCCTCTCCCCTCCTCTCAGTAGCAGACATGCTGAGCGGGCTCCTTCCTTGGGTTCAGTGATGGTGGGACTTCTCTGCCTCCCTTGCGGGCTCCCTGCCCAAATGCTGTTCATTTCCCCGAGGCTCTGGCTCTAGCCCTCCTTTCCCCACTGCTTCTTAGTGACCCTGAGCTTTAGCTATTGCCTCTGTGAGATTGATGGTCAAGCCTTGGGTGTCAATCTTGACTGCTCAAGGTGCCCAGGCCTCCTGTTCTCTTCCTACCAGCTGTCCCTAACATCCATCCCTTCCTTTTCACCCCTGGGGCTGCCCTGGCTGGGCCATTCTCCACCCCACAGTCTCCTCGATGATCCTCTCTTGCACCCTGACTTCCTTACCACCCACATGGAATTCTCATGTCAATTCCACATCAACAGTCATAAAACACCTCCAATATCTGCCAACTCCTCAATAATAAATAATTCAGTTAAAATCTAATGAGCCCTGGCCAGTTTGGCTCGGTGGTTAGAGCATTGGCCCGCAGACCGGAGAGACCTGGGTTCAGTTCTCGCTAAGGGCACGTACCTCGGTTGCAGTTTGTCCCTGGCCTTGGTTGGGGTCGTGTGGGTGGCAACCACTTGAGGTGTCTTTCTCACATCGATGTTTCTCTCTCTCTCTTCCTCCCTTCCTCCCTCCTGCTCTATCTGAAGATAAATGCAAAAATGTCCTTGGGTGAGAATAAAAAAAGCAAAACAAAAAACTAACGAATAATAAACTATCTGCTAGTGAAGAGGTTTTTCCCAGTATCTCCAGGTGCATCTCTGTCCTTCCCACAGCACATCCCATTCCCAGTCCCACTGTCTCCTGGCCATTTCGCTGTTACACATGCTTAATCCCAAACCCAAATCTTTGCTCCTGATGTCTGCCTTTCCCTGTCTCTCTACATATAACTTTGTCACTAGGTCAAGCCTTCCACCCACCACAACATACACCAATCTAGACATCAGGAAGGCAGATATTTTTATTTCAGGTCACAATAGGTCCCTCTTAGTCAACCATCACACCATTAAATAAATAGACTATTCAATTCTTAGCAAAGCCACATCTCCTTTGGCTAAACCAAAGCAGTTTGGAATTCCATCTGCCACCTGACTTTTGTTACAATAGGGAGACAGAGACGAAGGCTCTCTGGCATCAATCAAGTTTTCTCTCTCACAGGCACTGGTATCCGAATTTGTTCATGAGCATCCTTCACGTAGACCCCACCTCCCACCCTGGAAGGAAAGCACACTGCCCTGTCACTGGTACTGAAACACAGTGACCAGAGAACGCCTCTTGGGGGCCAGGGACAAGCACTGTCCTAATCTCAACAACCATTTTCTATCCAAAATACATCACCACATCCCCAAAAATTCAGGAGTCTCACAAACACAAGTCCTGTCCACCTCGGTGTGAGCAAGCTAAGAGTCAAAAAGCCTTTAAGATGCCCAGCCGCCAAATCCCCTGTTTTTTGTCAAAGTGACAAGGAGCAGAGTCGCGATCACGAGTCACATTCAGATCTATGCTACGGACAAATGACTCACTTGGGAATGATTGCTTGAGGTCTCGATTTTCTCCTGCGACTTGTCTCTGGCTAGTCGGGCAGCTTCTTTCACCTCCTGGAATTTCTCTGCAAACTGAACGTGAAGAACAATTATTAAGGTTTTTCTTAACCTTATACATGGCTGATATTCAGAACCTACCTTTATTATTTTGCATTCATTTTAGGCCAATAAATTCTGTACAAATCCAGAAGAAGAATTTTACTTGAGATAGAAAAAGAAATGATTATAAAGGAATACTTCTTCCAGTAAACACCGTTGGCCAAGGTCTGATCCGAATCAATTCCTAAGCTACTGAAGAACTCTTACAAGTCAACGTGATAAAAAATGAAAACATCCAAAAAGTTGGGGAGAATGAACTGTTCTAGATTTTAAAAGCTTAAGATATAAAATACCAAAATGGCAAATGGCAAAATACGCCAACCCTGTTTTGAATGGACCAACCATAAACCACTGGGGAAATGTGACCATGGATTGGATGAGATGATACTGAGAAATTACAATTAATTTTATTAAAAGTGCTAATACTGTCATGGTTATATTGAAAAATGTCACTGTTTCAGACATAAATTCTAAAGTTTTTAGGCATGAAATGCTTTCTTTGTTGTCTGTAATTTAAAGTACTTAAACAACAATAAAACAGATAAAGAAATGTAGCAAATGTGAACAATGAGGTCATGTGTATTGTACATGGGTGTTTATTCTACCATGCTCTCTAATGTTTAAAAGTAATAAAAAATTCTTAAAATCCCAGAACACTTACACCAATCACAGGCTTATAGTCACTGGCAAGGCAACCGATTTTAATTAGCAAGTACATTGTTTGAACTGAGAACATTCTGTGATAGACAGTGCTGGCATTACAAAGCAAGAGAGCTCAGTGTGGTTGCTGAGAAACAAAAACAGCTAGCAAGTGGCAAGGCTACCGACAATGCTGTGGCTTCTGCTAAGGGCTCATTAATTTTTGAGCACAGGCTACCCTCTGAGTACGTTCAGGAGGCCAACACCGTGGACTGCTTGGGAACCCTTGCCAGAGGTCGAACGCTGGTGAACTGAGCACCCTGGTCAAAGCAGAAAAGGTCAGCCTTTCTGTTCTAGCCCGTGTTGCTCCTATAGGCATGTCAATAAAGCCACAGCCATGGGGCTTCATATTTAACCATCCCCGAGCTGTCAGAGGAAAATCACAGTACCTGTTGATTAGAACATATGAGGTCCCACAAAGGTTGAACAAACCATCCCCCATTTCCTTTTAGGGGCCCCCTTAAGGAAAAACATTCTGTCATGAACTGCTTGATGGGCAGCAGGGTCTACACCTTTCCTCTCTCAGCCTCGCCCCCACCTCACGGAAAGCAGGCACAAGTCAGTTTGTTGAGTGAATGAATGAGCTGTGGCTTCCAGACTTGCACACTCCTATCCACTTGAAAAAAAAATCATGTCGCGTCCGCCTGCGGTCCGGAGAGACCCGGGTTCGGTTCCCGCTAAGGGCATGTACCTCGGTTGCAGTTTGTCCCCGGCCCTGGTTGGTCGTGCGGGTGGCAGCCACTCGATGTGTCCCTTTCACATCGATGTTTCCCTCTCTCTCTCTTCCTCTCTCTCCTTCCCACTCTGTCTGTACAAAAAATGGAAAAATGTCCTCGAGTGAGGATAAAAAAAAAAAAAAAAATCATGTCAAAGGTACAGGCCTAACCTAAGAATGACACAGCTCTTTGTCTGCTGGACAATGGAGAATTCAGCCCAGGGATGTACTACTGGGGAGAATATGTGGAAGTATTCCGCCCCAACTTCCCACTTCCTAAGCTTACCTGACTGGATCCACCTAAGAACTAGGTAGAGTATCACTCAGAATACGAATGTTAACCCCGAAGAGATTTTGTGCAGGCCACAAAGGCCTTTCCATCTTATTATGACATCAAAAGATGCAATTTTTAGGAGGTTTTATTTTAAATGTTTTTGTGCTCAGAATCAATTAAAAGTCAAATACGGTTTGAAGAAAACTGTAATGCATCTGGTTCTCTAATAACAGACACCCCTGCTAATCGAGCCTGGCCCGTGCTGTGCTCTGCTAGGTGGGGGCTGGCTCTGTCCCCACAAGCATGTCAATCCTTTACAAAACAAAAGCACTGGTTTTTACAGCCCCTTCTTGACCCTATCAAGGTCCCTTTCTCTCATGCATCTTATTTGAAGTTGCTTGTAAACTAGTTTGAAAATGTCATCAGGCCCTGGCCGGGTAGATCAGTTGGTTAGAGTGTCATCCCCATTCAGCAAGGTTGTGGGTTCAATCCCTGGTCAGAGCACATACAAGAATCAACCAATGAATGCATGGATAACAAATCGATGTTTCTCTCTCTCAATAAATAAAAATTAAAAAGAAAGAAAGAAAGGAAATGTCATCAGCCAGTGTCACGTTCATTCAGTCAACAAAAAAGGCCTAAGCACCACTCACGACTTCACTGGACAGATATTTCCACTGTACCTGAGCTGGGCTGTGCACAGAGCTGGGTGCTGAGATGTCATGCACACTGTGTGAGTATCAGATACTGCTTCTGCCTCCCAAGAGGCCAAGAGTTGAGCAGCAAGAGACAGTGGCACACAAGTCAGTAAATAAAGCCTTGACATGCTTTGATAAGACAAGTTGCCTGTAAACAGAGCTCAGGGTCTCCATTCTCTCTGTCCCCTCCTACCTTACCCTGAACATCCCCAAATAGTGAAGACCTTAGCTCAGCTCTTGGAGACCCAGGGCTCAAACTTTTAGTTCCAATGCACTTTCCTTTTTTTTTTTTTTCCCAATGCACTTTTCTCTGTCCCCAGCACCCACCAGTGGCCCCTCCAGCTGTCCCACAGCTTGCACGCGTGAACATACTTGCACCCTCCTCCCACAGTCTCTCAGAGCTCAGTGGCTTAACACACTTTCATTCTCTTGCTCCTCGCCATCACTCTGTAGGACAAGATTTCTCATTTATAGCTTCCATGTAAGAAAATGGACTTTAGAGAGGTTAAGACTTGCCCATGGTCACATGGCTAGTAAATGGTAAACCTGAACTTGGGCCCAGATTGAATTTCCACGTGGTCATTCTACACATTTAGTAACCTCCTGAGCCAACAAGAATGCCAAGAGTCTTGCCCATAGCAGCTGCTAGATATTTACTAACTGGATTTTCTATTTGCAAGGAGAAGGCCCAATACTTTTAAGTGTAAAATAGAATTGTACTCACTTCCTCTTCAAAAGAAAATTTTTTTATAAAAGCCTTAATTCCAAAACAGGCCAGACGACTTCCAAGGCAAAGACAAGGCCTACGGAACAGAACACCAGATACGGACTGAGGGGCCCGGACAAGAAATTTTGACTTCACAGCCCTCCTCAGCTCCATCGTTTAACTGTTCTCCTTCTCATTTATAAAAGCAAGACAATGAACAACTGTCACACATATGTCGAAACACACATCCTACATGACTTCAAGGTGATAGTGCTATTATAAATAATAACCGCCCAGAACATCAAAAAAAAAAAAGGAAGAAAGGACATGGATTCTTGGCTCTTCGAGGTGAGATACAAAGAGCAGTTAGAACATAGAAAGTCTTACTACACGCTCACAGCGACCCTCAGGTCCTTTTACAACTGTCAGTATACAAATGGAGCACAGATGGTCTCATAACTAGCCAAGGCCACGCTGGGATTGAACACAGGCCGCGTGACGCCAGCACTGGACTATAGTGTCCCATCATTTACCTGCTTAACTGCTACCTGAGCTAAGCTGTCCAACCCTGACCCTACGGGCCTTTCAAATGTAGGAAATGAACAACTTGAACCTCAGTCTCTTCATCTATGAAATGTGAACGATGGCACGACCTCCATGGATCACTGGAGGGTGAGAAATGGGGTCTTGCTAGGCATGTGACGGGTTCAACAAAAGGAAATGAGACTTCTCTTGCCTTGATTTGATTTCTTTCTACAAGGGAAATGACAGCTTAAGTCTTAAAACCACAACCTGTAGTAAAGGAGCTCCACAAAAGGGCAAATTCATTCACTCAAAGATATTTACCAGTTTCTCTGTGCTGGACTGTGCTGGGGACACTGAAATACTTAAGAAAGATCGAGTTCCTATCCTCAAAGGAATTCTGTAGAGGACTTTGTTTTACATTCAAGTGGGTGATAATCAAAAAGAAAATTTCATAAAATAAGCTGAAAATGTAATAAAGTAGGATAAGCCAATCAGATAAATTTAAAATAAATAATCACTTAAAAAGATGTGGTATTAGCCCTGGCCTGTTTGGCTCAGCGGTTAGAGCATTGGCCTGCAGTTCAGAGACCTGGGTCGGTTCCCGCTAAGGGCATGTACCTCGGTTGCAGTTTGTCCCCGGCCCTGGTTGGGTCGTGCAGGTGGCAACCACTCGATGTGTCCCTTTCACGTCGATGTTTCTCTCTCTCTCTCTCCCTCCCACTCCATCTGAACAAAATATGGAAAAATGTCCTCAGATGAGGATAAAAAAAAAAAAGATGTGGTATTAGCAGATATATGATGGAAACAGGCCCTACCATTTATATAAAAATTAGTGTATAAGAAAGGAAGAATCCTAAATTAATGTGGGAAATTATTCATCACAGGACTGAGATAACTTTAGTCAATTGGGGCAAAATGAATTTAAATCCTTACCACAAACCAGTAGCATGATAAATTATTGATGAGGTTTTTTTCCAATCAAACTTTTAAAAATCTGCATGCAAATAGAATTGAATATCAAAATTCTGCTTGAGGGGTGAGAGGGTAAAATAAGTTTGGAAGAAATAAAAGAAAATCACAAAAGTGACAGATACTGATGACATAATAATGTAAAGCTTTTAAATATAAAAGGAAAAAAGACTCCATCAGAATGGAACGGAGCGCCTGGGGAAATATCACGGCCAGGCCAGTCCAACAGGAAAGGGGTCGTTATCTTCAGTAAAGACAGAGTTTGTACAAATTTGTGTTGTTGTTTTTTATCCTCACCGGAGGACATTTTTCTATTTTTTGTTCAGATAGAGTGGGAGGGAGGGAGAGGAAGGGAGAGAGAGAGAGAGAGAGAGAGAGAGAGAGAAACATCGACGGAAAGGGACACATCGAGTGGCTGCCACCCGCACGACCAACCAGGGCCGGGGACAAACTGCAACCGAGGTACATGCCCTTAGCGGGAACTGAACCCGGGTCTTCTCCGGACCGCAGGCCGACACTCTAACCGCTGAGCCAAACCGGCCAGGGCCAAATCTGTGTTTTATAAGAGAAAGTTTATTTAGAAAGTCACAGAGGTAGTAGAAATGAGCCAGCCGGGCTGTGTGGGCTCAGGAAACAAGTTACAGAAGCAAAGAAGGGCCCTGGGAGCTTAGGAGAGGGAGAGACAAAGGAAAGGAGCCCGTGAGGAGCAAGCCGGGGAAGGGGAGGCTCAGGCACCATCCAGAGAGGGAGGATGCTGAACTTGTGCATTGAATGCAAACTGAAAAGGAAAATATAAAAAGCCCAATAGAAAAATGGCAAAATTCATGAATAAAAAATACAATGAGTAAGCAACTTACAGAAAAAAGTGCTCAGCCTCACTAAAAATGCAAATCAAAATAATGAGGTCCCATTCTTTGCCTGCTAAATTAGCAAACACTAAATACAACTATAATACCCGGTGCTGGCAATGTACTTCTGGTAGCGTGGTGTACTGGTACAACCCACTGAGAAGCAATTTGGAAAACTGTACCATGAGTGAAAAAAAATCATGCCCACTGACTTAGTGATATCACTTCTGGGAAACTATTCTATGAAAATAATTGAGAATATGAGAAAGAAGGCCTTCAGTATATTAAGATCCTAGGTTTATTTGTAATAATGAAAACTGGAAGCAAGCCAGACACCCCGGGAGAACATTCCCCTCATAGCCTCCAACTGTTAGAGAAGCACTTGTCACTGAGAGAGGTGCCAGATGGCTGTTCTTTGCTAAAACATCCCTCCCTCCAAGTCTTCAGGTTTATAATATTCCTCCTTTATTATAAACAAACAAACAAACACATTTGCTTATCAATTTAGAAAGCAAAGTTTAGGAAAAACATTTTAAACCTGTAGTCCCGTCTCCCAGAGACAAACACTAACCACATAAACCTCTGATATTTTTCTATCTATAGCTATACATCTGTTACACATATTTCTTTTTTAAATGAAATTATATTGATCTCATTTTATAGCTACTTTCAAAATTAACAATATGACATCGACATTTCCATGCAATTACATGATCTTCTATTAGATCGTCAAAATTTCAGTACTATATTACCCTAAAGGACACACTGGAGTTTATTTAACTAATTTCCTACCTCTGGACATTTAGGTTGATTTGGGTTATTTGTTTTTACTGTTATAAATGATGCTTCAAGAAAAACCCTTATAGCTGAGTCTCTGTAGTCAGTTACAATTATTTCCTTAAAATAGATTCCTATAAATAAAATCCATTAATCAAAGGATATTCAAACCATAAAGGTTTCTGAAATATATGCCGAGTTCTCATTCTTTTCTTATTACAGTCATTTTCTACAGTGGTTATGTAATCATTTTAATCAAAATGAAAATCATCATCATCATCACAGAAAAAGAAAGACATTTATTTTACTTTATTTGTGGCTGTTTTTGGCCTTGGCAACTGAAGACACTACAGCAGACACTACCTAGTTGCTTTCAAAGATCATTTATTTTTCTCCCTTAGCTTAACACAATCTCAGATTTGTCTGGAGCAAAAAACTTCTTCTTTTTTTTTTTTTTAAGTTATCCCAGATGTTTTGGTGGAGCAAAAAACTTCTTAGGTGATAAAGAATGAGAACGGGTCTAAGCCAATCATAGCAACCCAATTCCCTGGCCCCCTTTTTATTCTGGGGGAATGGGAGGATGGCCGAGGGACCCAAGACAGACAATGGCACCCGAGAAGTCTGCCACGGGAGTTTACAGGGAAGCTCTTATGGTGCCACCCCTCCGCCTCCTCCCTCTTGCCACAAATGCAGATGGGACAGACGAGTTCAAGAAGTCATCTTATCACCACGAGGGAAAGGCTAACAGAGAAAAGAGCAGAACACACACAGCCCTCAGACCCAACACCATGGAGCTCTGTGCCAATGCTGGCAACCGTGTGCATGACTCCTCTTCCATATGAAAAGAATAACTCCATCTGCTGAAGCACTGTGATTCGGTTCTGGTACTTGCAGCCAAAGCATTCTAACGGAAACATCAAAAGGATTAATAACTCTCATTTAAAAAAAAAAAAAAAAAAGGCCCTTAAATGAGGAGAAAGAAAGGTATGAGATGGGGTAGTGTTCTTATGGCGACACTGAGTTAGTGACGTGAACATGAGCGTACAGATTTGAATTGCAGGTGACATCACCGAAAGGGGTCAAAGCCGATGCCAGTGAGTGTCAGGGCTGTGAGGGATCAATCACAGAGCCCGAGCACCCCATCCTGCATCGCTCCTGGTCATGGCGGAGTGTCCCCTTCTGCCCGCCAGGAGTGAGACAGCAGCACACCTGGAAGGTGACATCTCAAGGTCAGGGGCCAGAGAGAACCTACTTTAACGACGCGCTCACTCTCACATTTGGCTCTCTGTCCACGGCTCTCCCTCTTGTCGGACAGCACCGTGCCCTTCCAGCATTCCCCAGCAGACTGAGCCGCTGCGTCCTCCCCAGGGGGCGGACAGGCGAGTCCCAGTCTGCCCCTGGGAATACGTAGCTTCTGTTATTTTTGGAAAGCTCATCTAAGGAGCAGTGTCCCCGTGATACTTGCTGGGTTGTGGTGTAAAGTGGTCCTTATATGGAAGCAGTGAAGATCAAAGTATCTATTTTCTTTCTGGGAGGTGGAGAGAGCAGTGTGTCTACAGTGTTCTTAAATGAGAACATCCACACCGGTGTTCCTTTATCTAGCCTAGTTATAGTGTTTGATTACCAAGCCCCCGTTCAGGTCTGTGGGTGGCTGCTCTGTGGAGTCAGGAATATCCAGCCACAGCATCCCCTCAGCAACATGCCTTGGGAACCCTTTCGGCCCAGGCTCCTCTATGCTAGTTAATTGCCACTTGCCCAGACTGCCAGCCTCACTTCATAGTAATTTATCAGCGTGCGGTTAATCGTTCCCTCCGAAGAGAAGGGAAAAGCTGATTTGAAACATTTTGAACAAAGGAGACATCTGAGTGCTTATCTGATAAGTCTTTGTGACAAAGGCAGGCCACAGTCACAGAGCAGGGGCTCCAGGCTGCCGGAGCAGGTGAAATGACTCAGGGAGACCGGCACTCCTCACCTTAAGGAAAGGACATTTTCTTATGTCGGGGAGAAATTCGAAGTGGCCACACTTGGAAGTAGGCAGGTTAAGGTCTCTCCAGAGCTCAGAGCACCAAAACCTGAGCTCTAACAACTTGCTCTGATTTCTGTTTTGAGTTTTTCCTTCTTTCAAATCTTTTCATTGGAACTTTCCCCCTTTATCCTTCCTACTTTGATTCCTCCAAAGACCGAAGAAGGACCGGATCTCTGGCAGGAGCCTCCCCATCGCGCCCTTCCCCAGCAATCTGAGGCTTCTACCGAACCAGTTTGAACAGGAGGAAGGTGTGGGAAGGGGCCACCTGGCAGGGGAGGAATTGATCCGCCCCCCGCCCCCAACCAGGCACTAATTCAGGATGGAAAGGCAGGCAACCCTCAAACCCACTTCAGACAGAGGTTCTGGTGGCATTCTTTCAAGAAATCACGGTCAGCCCTGGCCTGTTTGGCTCAGCGGTTAAAGCATTGGCTTGTGGTCCAGAGAGACCCAGGTTCAGTTCCCGCTAAGGGCATGTACCTCGGTTGCAGTTTGTCCCCAGCCCTGGTTGGGTCATGCGGGTGGCAGCCACTCGATGTGTCCCTTTCACGTCGATGTTTCTCTCTCTCTCTCTTCCTCTCCCTCCTTCCCACTCTGTCTGAACAAAAAATGCAAAAATGTCCTCGGGGGAGGATATAAAAAAAAAAAGAAAGAAAGAAATCACGGTCATACTTGCTTTTATTTGATGTAAATCCTCTCTGATCCTCTTCGTTTCAAAAAATGGCATCACTGTTCTCCCCGCGGCCTGGACTTTAAACTCTCCCTTGGATTTCTTGAGCTGCTCTGACATTCTTCCACTAAGTTCCCATGTCACTTAAATTAGCCAGTCTTGCTTTCAACCAGTATATCCTCAATAATCACAGAGTGCTCTCCTACCACCCACAAGGAAGCCAATTTTCCTGAAACAAGCTTTCGGCTCCCGTCATCGACTAGGTGAGGCATCTCAAGAGGCCCCCAGTCTGTACCCTCGGGCCTGCGGTCTCTGAGTCTGGGATCAGTCATGACGGGCTCCCCATCTCTCCAACCATCCAGAGTGTGTCTTAGACCCCTCAGAGAAGCGAATCAAGGCTATGAACCCTCTCCCTAGGAAAAAACACTGTGTGACATCTTAAACAGTGTGGGGACTCCAGGTTAAGAATGCTATCAGGTGTCATCTTACTCCCTCCCTCTAAGGGCTCCAACTCGAGGGTCCATGACACCGAGGGCTGACGCGTGGGGCAGGAAGGGCTGGCAGAGCTGCCTCCACGCCGCAGGCTCAGGCTCTGAAGCAGCATTTGTCAGATACGCTTTCCTTCCCCAGACGACATCTCCATTTCAAGGAACCTGGCATTTTTAAAAGGTCATCTGGTCTGGCAGCCCTGCGGAGCCAGACGGGGCGGAACTGCAGGCAGAGAGGCGTCCGGCTCCCCAAGCACTTCTCCGTGGAGAGGACCACGTTACCTTTGTCAGCTGCTGCTCCGACGAGAACCCCAAACCAAACACCGTGTTGGCTCTGCTGTCGGCCCACTGCCCAAACTTCTGCGACGTTTTGGTGAAAGTCATATTGGGTGTGATTGTGCTGTTTATAATCACCTGCAGGGAAACAGCCCAGAGAGCGGAAATGTGAATACTGAGTCAGACGCCACAGTGATTCTCACAAAGTCTTCCGTGGGTAAAGCCGGGACCTGATGCATAAAGCAGGCCCCACCAGCCTCCCAACTCTGTTGCCTCTGAACGGCCTTCCTCCTCTCCTGGCACCTCCCATGCTGAGTCACATGCACAGCCGGGGCGAGGGGCCACGGCAGAGACTTAGAAACAGACTCTCAGAAGAAAATAAGAACCTACAACTTATCAGTGGGAGAGTCTCTCCTAAGTATAATTTCCAAAGCTGCCATTCCCCAAAGCTGCCAGGCACCCCATGGCCCTTAATGGCCAGCCATGCCACACGTTCTCTGAAGAACTTCATGTCACACTTTCTCAGGCACCTGGTGTCCCAGTGTCCAGCTCAAACAACTTAAAAGTTTTCATGAGCAGCTGGGCCTTGCTGCTTCCACACAGGAAGGAGGATACACTCCCACTGATTTACAAAGAGACTAATTACGCCAGCGTGAGCAACTGCAGGGGACGGTGCAGGGACCTGCTGCTGGCCATCACGCCTCCTTGGCCTAAACAGGTGAGGGAAGGAAGAGGCTACAGGACGTGGAGGGAGAGAGTCAGGGAGAGCAGACTGCCATGACAAGAGAGGTGGCCTTCTGCTGAGGGACGCACCAGGAGGGGAGCCAGCAAAACAAACACGCTCGCCCTGGCTGGTTTGGCTCAGCGGTTAGAGCGTTGGCCTGCAGTCCAGAGAGACATGGGTTCGGTTTCTGCTAAGGGCATGTACCTCGGTTGCAGTTTGTCCCCGGCCCTAGTTGGGTCGTGTGGGTGGCAGCCACTCGATGTGTCCCTTTCACGTCGATGTTTCTCTCTCTCTCTCTCTCCCTCCCACTCAATCTGAACAAGAAATGGAAAAGGTTCTCAGGTGAGGGTAAAAAACAAACAAACAAACCCCCTCACCTCCCTCCCTCTGATATGCCACCTGCACACCTAACCAGAAGCCAGCGGCCCAGGGAGCTGAGTGAAGTAGTCTGCAGGTCAGCCTCTCAGGGGCAGAGCAGGGTGAAGAAGGGCAGAGAATGGATCTGGAGGGGTAAGAGGATGACATCCAGCACACGGCGCACTCATTCATTCAATACACATTTCCTGAGCATTGACTGCAGGCCGGGCATTCTTCCAACCAAAGATACAAAGGTGAGTGAGTCCAGAGTCCTGCTCTTCGAGTTACAGATGAGCAGGAAATGGGTAGAGACAGGTATGTGAAGTCACCAAAGAACTGATGTATTATAAAGTATCAACGACAGGCTCACTCTGGCAGAAATCCTTGGAAGCCCTAAGACTCTAAGAAACACTCATGAAAAATGCCCTTGGAAATAAGAGATGGCTGGACGTCTGCTGGCCAGCACAACTCACTGGTTACTTCCTCACAACGTGGCTTTGGATAATCTGAGCAGGAGCAGTGGCAATCTGAGTGAAGACTCTAAAAAGTGAATTTACCAGCAGCTTTATTTATTAAGGCTATATTTATTCTCAACAGTAAACTCAGAACACGTTTTTTAAAAACAGATAAAACAATGAAGAGAAAACATTTTTGAATGGCAGAGCCTTGCTTTCTTTGGTAAGAGCTTCAGTCCATTATTTTGCTCAGGGACCGATGTCTGGACACAGACTCTTTCTTTCCTTAAATAATAAAGACATCGGGGCAGGAAGTTACACTTGTCACTGTCCGATGGCCTGGGGGACTGGCGCCAGGCAAAGTGCTCGACCATTGTCTCCTTGCTCAGCCTGTCTCCCACCCTGAACGGCCTGCCTCCAGCCTATAGATTAACTCCCATCTTATCTATTCATATTCCAGAGGCTCCATGCATAACCCCCGCAGGGCCAAACCCTAAGAGACAAATTCCAGCTGCAACAGGCAGATATAAAAGACACAAGCCCCTACATTGAGCGCGGCTTCTAGGACTCGACCCCCGGAGTCTGTGAACCCGCCCGGAGTGTACCCAATAAAGCCTGATCCCTGTTTATTCGGCTGATTGGCTCTCCAGTCTCTTCTCTGTTTTATTCGGCGGCGCCCCCCGATTCCTTACAGTCACTAGTAAAGGTGTCAGTGCAATGTATATATGTAAGAGCCTATTGAGTTTGCCAATGAGGCATCAGCTTAAGAATAAACCTTAGTTCATTTAGGAAAACAATTTTCAAAGTTAGCATTAACAGCAGCAACTACTACTTATTGAGCACACATTGAGTGCTTTCCTTATATCAGCTCGCCTAACTTCACGACAAGGCTAAGAGGTATGACCATCACCTTCATTTCACAGAAGGAGAAAGGGAACTGGTAAGTAGCAGAAGAGAGGTCATCATGTATGAAATGAGAACTAAGCCCCCCTGAGTCCCCTAGGTCCCATCTCCTTACCCCCATCCGCAGGATGTCCCTCCCATCCACATGCCTGCACGGCACTCACCACCACAGACCTAGAGCAGACAAAAGTCTCTCACCCCTGGAACACAAACGGCTAGCCTTGCAGGAGGAGCCCTTCATCAGAATTTTGCAATGGGAGTGCCTTTGTCCCCCTCATTCCCTACTGATGTGCCTGCCCTGAGGGGGTGGGGGACTGCTTTGATCCTGATTCAGCACAGCTACCTCTCACTCTGTCACCAGCATCGAGGTGTGCAAGCATTTACCAAACACCACCTACAGGATCCCCCAAGCTGGAGGTCAGCCAAGCAGATAAAGGAAGCCCCTCCTTTCACTGTGCTGCTCTCGCAATCCCTCGGGCTGGTTCCTGCAGGCTTTGCAAAGCCCTGGCTGTCTCCTGACAGCTTACCAAAGGCTCTGGGGCTTCTGGAAATTCCTAGATCCAGGGGGGGCGGCGGGAGGAAAGGGGAAGAAGGGAAAGAAAGGGGCAGGAAAGCCATCATTTACTTCTACATGGTCCTTTACATTCCCTTGACTCGACAGAGGTAGCCCCTCTGAACACTCAAGGCCCTACCAGCGAGCCCATCGCTCGGATCAGTGAGACCACTGCTGCTGCTCTCCCGGGAAAGCCAGGGCACTGGCCTTCTCAGAAGCAGCAGACTGACCGCAGGTGATCACGCTGCCAGAAAGGGTCAGCCCCAGAGCCGTCCTCCCTCATTTCCCACTAGCACGGGAGCCATCCTGCGCCACCAGGACTGAGTCCTCCTGCAGAGCTGGGCCAACAGAGCTCTGAAGAATATGCTCCTTCTGCGCAGGGTCCTCCCATGCCCTCGGGTCACTTCTGGCTGACCCTCCTGCACCTGGAATCCACCTGAGTGCTTCAGTTTTCCTTTGAGGCTCTAAGGCATTTCTGACTCCGCCCTCCTCAGCATGAATGAAGAGGTGAGAGAAAGCTGGCCCTTATGAAAAGACCTTTGTCTGCTCTGGGTCTGCGGTGCTGGTGCCCAGTTCAGTTGTGTGGATGGGAGGGACGTCCTGGGGGTGGGGGTGGGGGAGGGGTGGGGCCTGGGGACTGAGGGGAGCTTAGTTCTGGGCAGGTGCATGGAGAGACAGTCTCTTGTGAGACTGAAGAGGACAAGGACCTAAGTTATACGCTCAATTTCACTAGCAATGTGGAAAATGCATTACTGTTATTATATACTCACAAAATTCAAACTGTCCGGTAAGACCAAGGGTGGGGCGAGGAGGGGGGGCAATAGGGGCTCACAGAATGGCAAAATCACTGTGGAAACAATGTGGCTTTCTCTGATAATGCAGAAAATGCACATTTCCTACCACCCAGCAATCCCAGTCCTAAGTGCATACCCGAGAGAAAGCTTTGTGCACGCAAACCAGGGGAAATGGACAAGAATGCGCACAGCAGCCGTGTTTGAAAAAAAAAATGTCCATCACCAGTGAATGGACCAACTGTGGTACATTCATGCAGTGAAATACTACCCAGCAGTGAAAGTGAACCAGGGCTGCAGGCCATCAACCTGCATGAATCACACAAATTTAACATGAACCAAAAAATAAAAATAAAAAGAAAGTCATAAAAGAAGACATACAGTATGAGTCTCCAGTATGATTCATTTTACATAAAAGCCTAAAGCACTCAAAACTCAGTAATATATCACTTAGCACAAGGATCCACCAACTAGTACAGCCCTCTGGCCAAGTCCACCTGCAGTCTGCTTTTGTAAATAAAGTTTTATTGGCACACAGCCACAGACATTCGTTTACACATTGGTCCGTGACTGTTTTCTTGCTACAAGAGAAAAGCTGAATAGCTGCCACAGATTATACAGCTCATTAAAAAATTACTATGAGGCTCTTCAGAGGAAAAATTTGCCAACCTCTGATTTAGGGATGCATACACAGGGGGCAAAACTAGAAAGAGAAGTAAGGGAATGCTTGATACAAACTTCCGAGAGAGTGGTAACCTCTTGGGGGGCAGTGGCAGGAGCATATAATTGGGAAGAGGCCCAGAAAGGCACTTCCTCGGCTGGGTGGTGGGTAGGTGAGTGTTCACCTTATTATCAGACAGTAAATGGTACAGATAAACAGTTAAAAATAAAGTCCACAAAACTACAACCAAGTCCTCGGGGAATCTGATGGTCACGGTGAGCAAAGGTTGGGAAAGAGGAGGTGGTACCCTGCACACCCACCGGACACTGGGAACCTGTGCTGGGAGCAGAGAAAGTGGCTGAAACTGTGGGTTCCAGCCTCAGGGGACAGGGGTGGCTCAGCAGTCTCTGAGGTCACAGGAGTGGAGGATGTCACCCAGTGGGAGGGGCAGAAGAACATGAGGGAGACCTTGCCGTCTCCAATGCACACCCCTCCTCTTTCGTGAGTTATCTCTGAAACTCCCTAGTAAAAGAGCCGGTTCCTGCTTCAGAAAATGCACAAAGCGCATGGAACAAGAACTACCTGGGAGAAGCACAAAGCTAAGCTCCTCCAGTCTCCAGCCCTGCTCTAGAATTCAGAGGAAACTGCCAGTCACAAAATGTCTCCTTATGGGAAGTCTTTCCCAAACCAGGGAGATGGAAGTTGGAAGAACTGGGATGTTTTCTACAAGAGGCTGAGACTGTGTGACAGCAATTAAAAGACATGCTGCCTGCTTCCAAAGCAGGTGTTGATGAAAGTGTTTGTCCTTTGTTTTTCACCACAGTCTGGAAAAGAAAGAAACCAATGTTCGCTGAAAACCTACTGTGTACCGAGACCCTTCCCTGTGCCTGAAGAGAATTAGAAAACTGTAGTGATGGGTGGAAGAGGGGACCCAGACTGTGTTCTTGAAAGCAATTTCACATTTCCAAAAGAAAACACCAAGCAAGTCAGATTTCAGAGGCTTACAGCCTCCGATCAGTCACGATTAGGCAGTGCTGGCTATCCAGCGGGTGCTGCTAACTACGAGTAGAATGGATGACCTCTAAGCCCTCTCCCAGTGTAAGTTTCTGGGATCCTATAAATAACTGAGAACCAAGGGCAGAAGAGCCATCCAGAGCACCCGGGAGAAACACCTGCTCCAGACAAGTCCTGTGCACAGGCACAGGCAGCTTCTCCCGGGGCGGCAGTGACTAACTCGGCCTGTGAGAGTGCCAGCAGCACAAGGGAGCCGAGGGCTGCGATGGCCCAGTGAACAAATGCTCTGGAAATGGAGTCCTTGGAAACGGAGCTGGTGGCTCGGCCCAGAACCCGCTGTGGATCACACGGTTGTTGGTGCTACGAGGGCTCCATCAGTGCTCCAGGAAGCTGGGTTTATGAGACGCCCTCATGTGGCTCCCATCTGCCCATGTGCAGGGCCGACCTTGGGTGACATTCTGAGGCTCCGATCCTGGTTCCCTCTTGGCGGTTACTCTGTCCCTGCCCACTGTCCTTCTATGGACACAGCACAGCTACCACAGGCCTGGAGAGCATGTGGCCAGGCTTGACCTCATCACCCTCTCACTCCCCCACCCACTCAGGGGCATTGCCCACTCTGGCTTGATGCCGGGACGCCAAAGACAAGGCAGCCCTGGCCCCTAGTCCTCAAAGAGCGCAGTCATTGGGCAGCCTCAGGCAGAGATGGATCCACACAACCCCTACAGTCGGGCAGTGCTGGGCGAAGCATCACAGTATTCTTCCTAATCATGTCTTGAGCAGCAGCTGGGAGGGAAACGTAAAATACATTCTTTGGGAAGAAGAAACATCTTAGTGTTTCAGAAAGAATGAGCAACAGTTCTGACCACAGATTCGCCCCACGATGAGCAGCACCAAGTGCTCTCAGGGAAGGGAGAGACCTTCCACACACCCTTCTCCAAGTAAACAGGACAGATGGTTGGACCGAGCAGAGGAGCCTGCCGTGCCCTGTGCGGAGAGACAGGTGCTAAAGCTGCTGGCTGCACCTCCTCCCTCCATGGAGCCTGTGCTCGGGGTACCTGCCGTTGACTCAGCAGCTGAGTTTGCTGTGGCCTTTGCTCACAACGACCTCCACGTCCCTTCCACACCAGCAACTTGTTCCTGAGTCACACCTCCTCCTTCCCTGGGGAGGGCGGAGCAGGCTTCCCTTCCAGCTGGCCCAGAAGCACCGAGCAGAGGCTCCAGCTACTAGACTTGATGTGGCCAGGCCAACAGAGAGAGGCAGGACCTGGGCCCTAGACCTGCCCAAGGGCAGAGGTGCGGCCCATGGGTCAGGACACAGCCAAAAGGCTAGAAGTATCTGACCATCTGTCATCTCAGTTCAGATCAACACTTGGGATCAAAGGTCTAAAACAAAGTAGGTCGTCCCAATGTGGTCTAAGGCGGGGTGGCAGTGGCCAAGGGCAGCAGACAAGAGCCCTGTTAATGCATCAGCTCAAGACACTGCACCCTATTCCAGTCTCGAGGAAGGAAGCAGATCCATCTGGGTTATGCAGGCAGGGCGGAAGCTGGGGCTGGGGGACTGGAGACTAAGGCCCGCCCATCTTTTATCTTCCCACATTCCCGCGTCCCTCTGCTCTACAAAGAATACTCCCTTTTGCAGAACGAGGCCCTGTCATGGGTCTTGTGCCCCGCTGGTAAGGCAGGAACTCTGGGTGGGCTCCAGGAAGAGCAGACAGCCAGGTGTCACAGGAGGGCTGGCCTGAGATCCGCAGGTTCCACCTCTGAATTCCAGGGGTCCCCATGGCCTGGGTTTCCAATTACTTTTTAGCTGACTCCTTGATCTGATGGATCCCCACAGAGTCGAAATTAGCCCTATTCTGCAGTGAGGGTGTCGCCCACCCGCCTACACCCCTGACTTCTCCCAGCTGACTCGCTTGGCCCAGACTCCAGCTGTCACAGCCCTCAGGACCTGCAGAGCCGCACGGTGCAGTGGCTGACACTTTGACAAATTGCTAAAAGCCCAGCTAATAGGACTGAAGCACTTTCTCTAAGAACATCGTTTTATCTGTATTTAAGCCCCATATATCCTTGGATAACTCAGCTGACAACAGTGCAAACGCATCTCAAGGATGGAAGATAAAATGATAGAATCTACAGATAGAAGAAAGCAGGTGAACTCGACTCATCACCCCTGTCAGGACATCATGGTGGAGTCGAGGAGATTCCAGCTCAAAAGCTCGGAGAGGGGCCCTGGCCAGTTTGGCTCAGCGGTTAGAGTGTCGGCCTGTGGTCCAGAGAGACCCGGGTTTGGTTCCCACTAAGGGCATGTACTTTGGTTGCAGTTTGTCCCCGGCCCCAGTTGGTCATGCGGGTGGCAGCCACTCGATGTGTCCCTTCACGTCGATGTTTCTCTCTCTCTCTCTTCCTCTCTTTCCCTCCCACTCTATCTGAACAAAAAAATGGAAAAATGTCCTCAGGTGAGGATAAAAAAAACAAAAACAATAAATAAATAAATACATAAATAAATAAGCTCAGAGAGGGGATGTGATAATACAATACAATGGTGGTATCACCATGTCTCCCAGAAGAAGAAACATAAAGGCCCCTCTCAGACATTCAGTCCTCAAACACAAGTGCTACCAACCATGTGCCAGGGACCTTCACGCACCCTGAATGCTCACCAGAACCCTGCCACGGCTTACCATCCTGCTTGCTTAGAGCAGAACACCAGTTCCCGTGTCTCTGTGGACATGTTGGCCAGACCAGCTGTTTCTACCTGACGTGCTCCCCGCACAACATGGTGTCAGGACGCTCCTCTGCCAGCCAGGGGGATGCCTGCTGCCACCTCAGGGACTTGGTGCCAGCAGCAGCCTGCCAGGACAGGCCACTGCCTCTCTTTGACCTCAGATGTAAAATGGGGACTCTGGGCTCCCTCCCTGACTAGGAGGAAGGGTTGTGGCAACTGGAAGGAGGAGAAAGAGGATCAGGGGGCCAAAGCACCTTTCTCCACAGTTTCCATGACGAGGAGAGCACAGAGGAGGTTCTTAGAGAACACAGGCTGAGGGGAGAATTTCGCCTTAAAACAGGGAGCCTCTCAAGAGATCAGGAGGCACCAGCAGGCTCTCATGCCTTGCCTGGGGGCGAGCGATGGTCTTCAAATGGAGGCTTCCCAGGCCTTCTGATCCACGGTTGTGGGGCTGGGGAGGGAGGAACCTGCAAGCATGCTCCATCCTGCCCCCCCGCTTCTGACTGCCTAGGAGTGCTGACCTGGAGGCAGCAGGCAGGACAGACTGCAGGTGGGGGAGGAGGAGGCCAGGTGGAAGGCTACTGCAAAGCTCCGAGAGAAACTGTGCCAGGAAAGAGTTATGGCCTCGAAACAAAGTATCAGGCATAAGTGTGAGACACAAAAGACAGACTGCTTTGACCAATTCAAAAGGGAATGCCTTTATGCTCGTTCTTTTCTTTCTTCCAACCTCCCTTCCTTTCTTTTTTTTTTAGTCCAAGTGACTGAGGAATGGAAATGAAGAGGTCGTTTAGAGGGAAAACGGGGGAATTCGGTTTCACATACATTTAATTTCAGGCGACAGCAGATAATTCATGTGAAAGTGTCCAGCAGGATGAAAACAGATGAGACAGAAAAGAAATTATAAAGCATGAAGTCTACTTTTTTTCTTTTGCAAATTTGGTGATGCTTGTATTGCTATCCCTTTTTTATTCCGCTTCCATATAATGTGGCAAAAATATATATATATATCAAGGAAGAGAGCAGAATAATAAAAGTACCAGGAAAAAAATTATTTCAAGAAATATTCCAAAACTATTTATTAAAATCTACTCCCATGCCTAAGAACACCAAAACCGGACTAGGTATAGTACCCAACGCTGGAAAGGGTAGAAAAACTGGCATTCTCGGATATGCTGAAAGAAAGACCTCTTTGGAAAGCAAGCTGGCAACATCCACTAAGAGCCGTAAAGTGTTAATGTATTACTTCCAGGAATCTAGCCTAAGAAATGTCCAAAAGAAAGCAATAGGTATGTTCGATGATCAAATGAGGGCATTGGCCGCATGAAGATACTCATTACCTATAATAGTAAAAAACTGGAAGCCACTTAAATATCTAACCATAAAGAAAGAGATTAAGAACATCATAGGGCCTTAGTGGGATTATCACACAGGCATTGAAATGCTAGTTATAAAGATAATGTGATAACAGGGAAATCTTTTTTTCTTCATTTTCCATAATTTTAAATGCATAATAATTGAAAAAACAAACAAACCAGGATATGTGATTATAAGACATTATCACAATAACACCTGTGTTAAGGTGGCAGGATCTGGGGTGCATCCTTTTCCTTCCACTTTTCAAATCTATCATCTTGCTTTAGATGAAACAGAAGTGACCGTGAATGTTAAAACCAGCCAGGGTGGTACCTTGGCTCCATCCACACTGATGATCCGATAGCTGTTCCTTGTGACATCGTAGAAGTAGGAAACGGTGACAGCCTGCTTGCTCGCAGGCACCCAGTTCTTCTTGGTGTTGGGATCAATCTGGAAGACGTGCGCTCGTGTGGTGAATATGGGCTGTTCTCTGCAAGACAAGAGATGGGCGCGTGAATTGATGGAACGTGACTTTATGTATAATTTATTATTTATAAGGCATCTACTGTTCCCAAAGATTTTAATAGCTTATAGAGAAAGATACATATGCATGAGGACAATTAAAATAAGGGAAAAAAAAGAGAGGAGAGAGAGAAACACCAGAGAAGTAGTTACTAAAACCTAACACTCTGAGACTGTGGGGCAACTGGCCTAAAAGCTTTGGTTAAAATGCAACTGCTTGGCCTTGATTAGTGGCCGTGGTTAGAGCATCAGCCTGCAGTCGAGAGAGACCCGGGTTTGGTTCCTGCTAAGGGCACATACTTCGGTTGCAGTTTGTCCCCGGCCCTGGTAGGGTCGTGCGGGAGGCAGCCACTTGATGTGTCCCTTTCATATCGATGTTTCTCTCTCTCCCTCCCACTCTATCTGAACAAAAAATGGAAAAATGGCCCTGGCCGGTTTGCTCAGTGGTTGGAGCGTCAGCCTGCAGTACAGAGAGACCCGGGTTCAGTTCCCGCTAAGGGCACGTACCTCAGTTGCAGTTTGTCCCTGGCCCTGGTTGGTCGTGCGGGTGGCAGCCACTCGATGTGTCCCTTCACGTCGATGTTTCTCTCTCTCTCTGTTCCTCTCTCTCCCTCCTGCTCTATCTGAACAAAAAATGGAAAAATGTCCTCGGGTGAGGATAAAAAAAAAAAAAGGAAAAATGTCCTCGGGTGAGGATAAAAAAAAAAATGCAACTGCTTGGCCAGTAAGTGTTTTTGCACTCCATGAAGCATCCTATTCTTTTTCTGACACCCTGTTGGCATTTTTAGGAATTTGCAACAAATTTATTTTGGGGGCTCCTGCAACAATCTTGGGATTTTGCAAACCATTTGCAACTTCATATTATACTTCTATTAAGTGCTTCTCAAATTCATAGTATTTTATGAATGACACATTCATCCGTAATTGACCGAGTCTTTAAGTTTTATGTTTCCGACTTATGAACCTTTTGAGTTTTATGTAAAAGTCATCAAATCAATCTCTTTTGCTATTCTTGCCTCTATATTGCTGTTTTTTTCATTCCACACACCTGTAAATTCTTCCTGTGGTTATTAACCATGTTAGCACATTATCTGTTTTTCTGTTGAGTGGGGAATTAGTTAGATGTTGACAATAACCATTAAGAGATAAGGCAGATGTATACAAACTATAACGGGTTTCACTGTGTTTCATATTTTAAGGTACCTATTTCACAAAGCAACAACATAAAACAGACTCATTACAAAATACTCATTATCAAAAAAAGGATCTTCAGGCAAACTGGCTCAAAAATTCTTTTAAGTGTTCAAAATGAGATAAGATGGGGGGAAATGCCACCAGAATATAAAAATCTTCCCATTGTTCATTAAAATGCTACAGAGTTAATAAGTCCTTATTAGAGACAAAAATTAAATCAAAAGGTAACTTAGATAAATTAATTTTTAGAATCCTTACAATGTCAAAAAAGATAACATAAAAGAATAGGACACCCAAATGGAGACAAAAACTCAAAAGGGAAAAGTGAATGTTAAGTGTTCTGGTCTCTAGCTGCAGTGGTTTTAGGCAAAGCAGTCTTTGAATCCATCCTGACTATAGGAGGCTCATTACTGGAAAGAAAGCTCTTTCTAAGGACAGAAATTTCTTCCTAGAAGAGCAATGTACTATGAGAGCATCTGCAAGGGATCCTGAACAGCACCATGAATACCGGCATCAACCATCCACTGCAGTTGCAGAGAAATGCAGAAACCGTTTGCACGACTGTTTTTCTGAATGAATAAAAGCCAAGAGCATGCTGTTCGTGCCACCTCAACGCAGCTGCTTCGAGAGGCTTGCTTTCCAGAACACAGAGATCAGCATTCCTTGCCCCTGGATCATTCCTTCTGGGAGCAGGACAAGTGCCTCTAGGAATGCAGACTACTACAACATTTCTCTTCTCTCAGCAGTGACTCAGGTCACCTACACCCTTCCAGCATCAGGGTGAGAGCTGTAGAAACACAAGGAATATTCTCACTGCAACTGCCCGCATCGCTGTCGAGGGCAGCCTGTGGGGAGCCCTCCTAATCATGGGCAGGCTCACATCTGGAGGCCAGCTGTGAGACTGGCAGCCCAGACAACGTATCTGGCTAATCGTCTAAGCACACCGCCACAGAGGAAAATACTTGCTCACATGGTATTCTCCAGCATACGTGAGAGGAGGGAATGACTGAAGAGGCAGCAATATAGAAAGAGGTTTTTAAAGAATCAAATTATGCTAAAATCTCTGCCTCCCTTGTGCAGAACACTAACAAGTAGGCAGGGGTCCTCCCTGGGAAGGAGCGGGCTTTCAGACCTCCCCTCGTGTCCTCTACACCTAGGAAGAGGGATCGGGTCTGGGTTTTAGCACCCTCAGAACTCTGACAGCAGTTAGCCGGGGCACTTCAACTAAAAATGTAAGTGCCCTGGCTCCAGCCCAGCCCCCAGGAGCCTGGCTCTCCAGCAGGGGCCTGAGGAGCTCATTCTTCACAAGAGCTCCAGGTGTTTTTTATCCTTAAAGAAGCTGGGGAGACGTTATCAGGTGATCTAGAAAAAAAATAGAAGAAGTGACAGATGCAGCCAGTATCTCTCCTTCAGAATGACATAGTTCACTGTGAATGACACATAATGTCCTCCCACAGCCCACAGGAGACAACAGAGGGACCAGGTATGAAGGATGGGGGAGGGGCAAAGGGAGGCAGAGGTGCTCTGGTCAAGAAAGAGGGCAGCTTGTGGTGGCCAAGCAGTGACCTTCTTCAAACATTCCACGTCCCTGAAGCCCACAGGAGTGAGAAAGTGAAGCAAGCAAAGCTGAGAGAGACAGAGGAGGAGGGACAGGGAGACAAGAAAAGATGGCAGGCCTTTCTGATCAGGGACAAGCAAACACAGAGAGTCATCTGCTTGGCATGATTCTGGGCAAGGTGAGCATGCAGACAAGAAGGACCCATCTCCAACTCTGCTTGCTCCGCTCTGGGGATGAACTGAAGCCATGACAGGTTGCCCTCAGGACCCCAACCAGAAACGCAGTATCTTGGGAGAGCACAGCTGGCCACATCCTTGGTGGCGGCAGCCCTGGTCACCGTGGCCAGGTCTCGGCAGGGAAAGTGGCTGCTGATTGGTGGGGAGAGGCACCGAGGCCTGGGAGGGGAGTTGCTGGGATTCCCGCCAGCTCCGCTCGGGGAGGGCACCATGGCCAGTGCTTCTCAGTCCTGAGCACCTGCACAGCCAGTCTGGCAGCAGCTCCGTGCCCAGGAAACTACTCAAAGGACTGAGGTTTCCACATGCATAATCAAGTCTGAAGCCACTGGGATGTTCTATTTTAGTCTTCTAAAATTCAAAAATCAAATGGTATTTAAAGAAAAGGCCAAATATGCACAATGATAAAAAGAACAGCCAGTAGCTAATATTTACTGACTACTTATTCTGCCAGGCTTTACATGTGATCTCTCATTTAGGATCACGATGATCCTGTGGGGAAGGTACCGTACAGGTCAGGCAATGAGGCGTAGAAAGGCCAAGACACAGGTAGAACGGCAGACTGGTAGAGCTGATATTTGAAGTTAGTGCAAGTGACATGGACGCCCTCCCTCTTAATCATTACGCTGTTCTCTCTCCCTAAAATAACAGTGTCTTGTACCTGGCAGCATCTGATGTGTCTCCCAGTGACCCTGCCTCCTGGTACTCACGCCCTCATGCAATCCCTCTCCCTCTGAGCAGGGGTAGGACCTGTGACTTGCTTTGAACCAAAAGAATATGGCAAAGGTGATGGATGTCACTTGTGCAAGCCAGCTACATAGGATTTGACTTCGTCTTGCTAGCAAACTCTCTCAATGGAGTCTCTCTTGCTGGCTTTAAAGTTGCCATGGTGGGGAGGCCCACGTGGCAGTAACAACGGAGGGTGGCCTCCAGCCAACAGCCAGAGAGTAACGGAGGCCCTTAATCTAGAACCACTCAAGGAACGAATTCTGCCAGTAACTGCTTGGAAGCTTAGAAGTGGGTCTTTCCACCGCTGAGATTTCAGGTGAGACCCCAGCCCTGGATGACAACTTGACGACACCTCCGAAGAGACTCTGAAGCTGAGGACCCAGCTAAGCCTGGACTCCTGACCTGCAGAAATGTGCTTTATTTGAAGCCGTCAAGTTTGTGGCAGTTGAACACACAACACTAGGTGAGTAGACATTGACCTTCATAGAAGTTAACTGTACACCAAGCAAAGTATATACATTCTCACTTAATCCTCCAACAGGGCTGTGAGTGGGTGGCATCACCCATATAGAAAAGTGAGGGTCACAATGATTTCAGGTGACCTGAACAAATCTTTACATCTTTATGGGAAAAATCAGAGCACTCTACAAACCTCACCACAAAATCTAGAGAAGCAGACCCCAATTCTGACAGCATCCTGTCTTACCTGAGAAAGTAAAAGAGATAGAACTAGGACACAGAAGTCAGTTCCCGTAAGTGTGCAAATCAGTATAAATAGAAAACCCGAGAGAAGCAGAACTTTCAGACCCAGGAGGCCACCTTTCCTGCCCAGCAGGGAATCACTGAAGAGAGTGCGGGTCAGAGAACAGAAACCACCTTCATACTTGATTTATTTGTTCGAGGCTTAGGGAGTCTATTTCAAATAGACTCCCACTCCCTCTTTGGCACTTTAAATAGAAAGCAGATGTTTCCGGATGGCAAAGTGTTTTTAGGCGGACAATATAACCTACTGTTCCCAGTCTTTTTAGAGCTGAATAAACACCAATTGTTGCTCACTGAACACATTTTGGAATCTGACAGTAACTGTCCTCAAGAATAATTAGACACTCTGCAAAACATGTATGTTTGGAATATGAACACCACTCAGCAGAGAGACCACTCTGGCTTAGAACAAATTCTGGCTCCATGTGAAATGATTCGACAAAGAATTGGCATGACTACTTTTTGAAGAAAAATAATGTTTTAATTTCCAAT